CTGCCCCGCGGGTGATGACTCAGATTCGCAGCCCTACTTACATCATAAGCATTTGAGATTTGGACCTCACCTATAACCAAAAATAAATAATAAGAATTTGAGTAATTTCTTCTGACATAAAATATAAAATTGAAGGAATGATCAAAACATTGAGTTAGTAGAAACATATTTCCAACTATATAAACAATGGTCATTTAGTACAAAATCGAAACATAAGTTTTCATTTTCAAGGAATACCTCTATATTGCCCAATCTTAGCAAATCGTAGAAGACATATCACCATGCCTTCTGTTTCTTGGCTAGCTGTATGAATTCTCACAAAATTTACCCCAAAGACAGCAAGCTACTCTCTGACCATTAATAGAATTGCATATCAAGTTATAAATCAATATGTTTATAGGTCTATATTTTTTATATTAAATATATAAAACTTACTAAATGAAGATATCTAAATCATAAATCTATATAAAACGATAAACTTACATTTGCATCACAAAGAATTAGTTTCATTGTCTCCCATATGTCTTTCATGAAATGTCTCCATGTATGAAGGATTTTGACTTGGATGTGACATGCAGTCTTCCTCGGTTTTATATCGCTCAAGCAAGACAACTGCAAATTATTCTCCATTTTTGTTATAGGTTTTTCAAGGAATGATGAATATAGTGGTTAAGAGAGGCTATATTTATAATAGGTATGGACGATATACATTTAGGTTACGCAAATGTAGGGCAGGGTATTTAGACGATTTTAAAAAAATATCTCTTTCGAGGAATAAGGAATATTTCTTGAAGATATTTTGAATTAGATAGGAAGTTTAAAGTTTAACAGTTAATGATAATCCAACTAAGGTAAGTTACCGAAATTTATGGATTCCAAAAAAAGAATAAATGACCACAATATTGATTGTGGTTAATCTATAAACTTGTAGATGAAGCAATTTATTTATTTTTGTAAGAAGATAATTATAGAAAATAGTTTTTGCAATATTTTCTTAACAAAACGTATCTCGTCCATTAAATGTCACCATGAGAATGATGATATATCGACATATAAAGAAAAAACATGAAATGGAGGACATTTGGATGGATTCTCCATTCTCAAATGTCTTAAAAACATGAAATGAATGACATTTGAATGGATTCTCATTTGAAATGGTTTTGAGGTATGAAATAAATGATAGAAATAGTGAGACATTAAAAAATTGTTGATATAGTATGCAAAACTCATGAAAATGTCGATATAGACAATATATTATGTAATACATTAACAAATGTCTACAACTATAAAAAAATCTTAATATTTGTAATATAAAGTGTAGTATGAGTTTATATCATATAGTCTTTGAAATATAAAGTGTACAACTGTGTTTTAAATCTTAATATATGAAATATAACATCATATCATGGTTAGAGTAATATGAGTTTATAAAGTTTACTTTTTGAAATATAAGGTGTAGTATAACTATATGAAAATATTAATATATGAAATATAACATTATATCATCGATATATGATGCATATACCAAAAAATATTAACCAAAAAATTATAATGTTGGAAATCTATAGATTTAATTCGTGTAATATAAGGTATATAACACAATATAAATGTATAAAATATGGTTAGAGTAATTAATGGGAAGAGAGAGAATAATTCTGGTATATGTAATATTTGATATGATTTGTAACAAATCGATATATATATATATATAGATGTAAACCCAAAAACTAAATTACCAAAATATCATTAATAAAGGTGTAAACAAATTCCATCGATTTATTTTTCAAGGGTGCATTTACTTTTAATAGTATAGATGATTCTCTTCTAATATATATAGGAGAGTACGTTAATGACGCGTCGCTCTCGAATAATTTCCCTTGTACATCTCTTCCAGGATGCTTGCCTTACATACATTTTCACTCGCTTTAAACTTTGTTTAACATTATCTGACCGTAACCAAAAAAAAAGTCGGACCGTAACTCTCCTTTTAAAATATATACAAAAACCTTTTTATTGTGATAATTTATTATTGAGAAACTTTTTTGTTTTGGAATAATGAAGCGCTTTGAACGTTAGATTTTCATGTGATGCTACATTTGTATCGGGATTTTCATGCCTTTGAGTCATTGACATTATACAGAACCAACGCATGTGCATATTGTTTTTATTTTCATTAATCAATTAAAAAATACATAGTAGAATGGTAAAGGCGTAAAACTCTAAAATTTGAAATAAACCTTGAAAACTAAACATTACATCAACCTCATTGAATATGATAATTGGTATACAGAAGAAAACCCAATAATGGTCCGGATTCCGGATAGGTGCTTTCTTGTACATTACTTTGTTGTTTGTGTTGCACGGTTACCTATACTAAGGTAGTAGTAAGATATATCTCCATGTATAAACTTCTTTTTTCAATTTACAGAGCAAAATAAGCTTTCTTTGTAATTTTCGGAATACTACGATATCTTCTCAAAATCTTAGCTACATGCATTTGTCTGGCCGTGACTTGTCCACAAGAAAATTGAAAAAAACTACATGAATCCCTTTGGTATTAAAAGAGGAATATTTTTTGAGACTAACCTTATGTTCATGTGTTATTATCAAGAATGCTATTTCTTACGTGACAACACCATATTCCTTCTCTGTCTCTTTAAACAAAAATCTTCTTTCTTATTAAACTTATTACATTATTTGTCATTATTTATTAGTTGTATCTTAGCATAATGTTTTAATAGTATGTCTTGGTAACGTGCACTCTCAATATAGACGAAGAAAGAGTTATTTGGTAACATATTTTATATCATTTTTAAACCGGTTGACATGTATTATATCATTCGAATGTTGTTTATATAAACATACTATTAAAAATGAGATTATAATTTGCAATCGGTTTCTAAAAAAATACATATTAAGCAATTTCCAATGCATTATTTAATACAAAATTGTAATCTTTAAAAAGTGTATTTTTATTAAAAAATATATATATATATATCTTAATGAAACATAGGTAGTAAAATTTATAAATTCTATAAAATGAGCTACCCCCGTTATATGTCGATCATAATAAGATGTTATCCATGAAATATTATTAACAAACAATATTTTTAACATTTTTATAATAAACTGAAATGCATTAAAATCCCGACAAAATGAGGAAAATGAGATAAATTATTGGCACCAATTCATCATATGTGATTTCATCTTCATGGCTTTACATATTGTGTATTCAATTTAGAAGAAGCTTTTGATTATGGTAATCCTCTTTCTTGTGATTGATCTTCTAATTTTTAAAATATTTGGAAAGAAATAACCAATCACATAAATTAAGGACCATGCTTTTGTATAACTTTTTCAATTTTCATAAATGATAACAGAACAATTAGATGCATGTATTCATGAATTTTCTTTGTAGTGTTAATTTTGCAGAGAGAAAGTCGAATTACTTCTTTCCAAATTTATATAACAATATTTGAAGCATATTTACAAGTCTAATTCATAGTAACCTAACATAATCCGCAGCAACTAATGATATGAAGAAATTGCATAAATCTGCTTAGACAGTTTCCGGTTCGATATCAAGTCATAATGCATATTGATTTAATTTTTTAAAAGAATTATGTATTTATCGGGTATTATAGAGTTTTATATAAATAAATGTTGACTATGTCTAGAAAATTTTATTTTAGGAAGAGCATGTCATGAATTTAAAACAATGATAATGCGGGATTTCCTAATTTTCATTGATTGATTTTTGTAAAGGAAAATCGTGGAGTATTTGCTTAAGTAGCTACTGATATGAAGATAGAATACCTAATCTGATTGGACAGAGAATATAGTTTGAAAAATCAAAAGATAATGCGTATTGATTGATTTTATTTAAGCATTACTACTTTTCAGAAATTATAGAGTTTTATATAAAGTAATATTAATCAAATGAGTATGGTAAAATATCAGAAGTAATCTACAACACCGATGAGTAAGGTACAATAACTGAAGTAATATTTCTTTCCAGTTCTGTTTACCTTGATTTCAATTAGGAATTTTTCTTGCTTGATTTTAGACCATAATTATTTAACACCATTAACTCTTTCTTTTGTCTAAACCCTTTCCTCAATGAACTATATATATATATATATATATATATATATATATATATATATATATATATATATATATATACCTTCCTCAACTAATTAGAGAATACATCACCACCTAAACATTTCAAAAACATCATAAAAAATGAGTGGCATCAATTTCATCGCCGATTTTAAGCCTAAGAAATCGATGTAGAAGATAAAAGTGAAAGTGATATGACTTTGGAAGCAATACTCTGCTGTGTGAATGCAAAAATACATTGTAATTATTATGTATTTTCAATACATATTTTGAGTGTGTTTTTTTAATGTATCTGATATACACGTTTTTTCCACCGCATGGAGATAAAATCCATGTGACGATTAAGAAGAAACTGGTTTCCCAATTTGATTCTTTCTTTAGCCAAGAATATTCTAAGTTTCTTTTTAACTTCAATGTATCTACCCAATTACACAAATTTTTTCATAAAAAAAATATAAGCTTACATTATATATACTTGAACACTATAGTAAGATATTTTATTATATCTAATATTTATGTTTTTGACTTTTTAATATCTATAGATATTAGGTAATAATTTTTTTAACTCACTCACTCCGCGTAGAGAATCACCTAATATTGAGATATTAAACAAACTTATTCACCTTTTTGGACATGTGACAGTATTTGTTGTTTGTGTTGCAAGCAAGGTACGATACTTATAATTAAGTTATATCTCCAAGTATATATGGAAACATGCATTAATCAAAGACGCATTGATTGAAATACAGTAAGTCAAAAACAGAGGCCCAGAGGATTTTTTTGATCTGGGCTTTGTAATGAATGTGGTGGGTTCGATATCGTTGTTATATTGAAAACCTAATTTATTGTCGCAGTAAAAGGAGCGAGTGAAGTTAGAGATGAAGGATTCGTTTGAAGCAGCCATTGAGGAGCAACAGGAATGGCCCCCGGAATCACCTGGTGGCGGAGGCGGAGATAGACCATGGAAAATAGAGCAGACTCCAGAAGAAGAAGATGAGAGAGCTCTGAAGAGATGTAAAACCTCCGAAGAGGAAGACAACATGGGAGCTGAGTTCACCAGATACCCAACTCCTGCGAAGATGTGAGTCTTTTTAATTTGACTAAATCTTCATTTTTTTCCTCAGGATGGCTGATTGTTAATTTGTGGAACTCTTCAGGACCATTTTAACGCAATTGACAGAGGATCAAATGAGCCGATATGAATCTTTCAGGAGATCTGCGCTTCATAAATCAAACATGAAGAAGGTATATATATATATGTGACAATATGCATGATTTTTGCATCATCTGATAATATGAACCCTTCTCTTTGCACAGTTATTACAGAGTATCACAGGTCAGAAGGTCAGCGACACTTTGAATATCGTTGTGTGTGGTATTGCCAAGATGTTTGTTGGTGAACTCGTGGAAACAGGTAGAGCTGTTCAAAATTTTTAAATTTACTGTCCACACATATTAGTGAGGATATTCTCTTGTTTTTTTTGGAACAGCTCGAGTTGAAATGGGTAAGAGGAAAGATTCAGGACCTATCAGACCTTCCCATATCAGAGAGTCCTATCGAAGACTTAAGCTCCAAGGCAAAGTACCTAAGAGATCAGTTCCACGGCTTTTCCGCTAGTTGATGTGTTGGTTAGCTCGTGGCTTGTAGACCCCATAATATACATATATGCGACTAAAGTATTTGTTTTATTTTTGTTGTAACCCCTAGGGATGTTAAACTAACATAACCTCTCGTATTATAAGTTATACTAGATTTTCACCCTGCGCCCACGCGGGTTATGATTTTGTTTTAAATTATTAATTAATAACAATTTTGAATACCTTGTTTATTTGGATATATATAGGTTCTTACACACCTATCCGGATCGAGAATGATCTGATTCAAACTCTCTCCAAAAATTTATAATATTTGAATATTTCTATTTAAAATCCTAAAACAGTATATCCAAAAAAAAAAAAAATTTCTTTATATTTTTCCAGATAGAGGTGGAGTGAGAAATTAAAAATTCTTAATAAATCCAAAGAAAAACAAACGTAGGAGTTTAGTTAGAAGAGCAAAAACGGCTGTGTTTAATAGCAGTGGCATGAAGTTGTAATTTTTGAGGAAAACAAAGAGATATTTCCTATTTGTACTTCAGTTTTAATAGTTTAGATGTTCCTTAACGCAGAACAAAACAACAACAAAAAGTATTGGTTTTCTCAAATCAAAATTATAAAACTGAAAGGAAAAGTAAAGGACTTTTGACAATTTTATGTATCTTAAATGACATGTAATTCTTTATTTTATTTTACAAAACAATAAACAACAGAATCTTTTAAACATAAGTGATGAATACATAAAACTAGCAACATAAGATTGTAACCGATTATTTCAAAATATTATGAAATATGTTTGGTAAGAGCACCTTCAATGGAGATTTTATCCATTGAAGTTTTTAAGACATATGTGTATATGTATATATTGTATAAGTGTATGTAGGTATAAGGTCTACTATATTGTGGAGAACTCCACCTTAAAAATTCTTAAAGCATCATCAATGGTTTAGCCTCTCTAACACAGATTCCTAAGCACTTATATTAACATTTTAGTTTAATTTATTTACATGATTTAACTTTAATATCTGAAAAGAAAAACACGAGTAGAAGAATTGAACAAAACTTAGGTTCACCCTTTATGATAATTTTCAAATTCACCTCACAACTAATAACCACCCATTATGCCACATTACAAAAATTAATAAAAGTTAGTAATATTTTTAAAAAGACTATAATAACTAAAAATAAATAACGTCAATTTTAACGATGTTAACACTGCCAACTAAACCCTAAATCCAAACTGTAACCCTAAAACCTATTTAAATCCTAAATTCTAAACTTTAAACCCACTCTATACCCTAAAACCCAAATCTAGACCTTAAATCTGAACCTTATACCCTAATCTAAACCATATACCCTAAAACCTAAATTCTAGACTCTAAACCCAAACTCTATACCCTAAATCCAAGCCCTAGCCCTAAATTATAAACCCTAAACCCAAACCTTAAATACCTGAATTTAAATCCTATACCATAAACCCAAACCCTATAGTTTAAATTCAAAGTCAAATTGTAAATCCTAAACTCAAATCTTATACCCTATATGTTTGGATTAATGTTGATATTATTCCATTAAAGTTTAGAGTTAGGATTTAATAAAGGTTTAAATTTAGAATTTATAGTTTGGGTTCATGATTTATGATCTAGAGTTTGGATTTAGACTCTAGGGTTTGAATTCAAGGTCTAAACTTTGGGTTTAGGATCTAGGGTCTAAGGTTTAGGGTTCAGAATTTAGGGTTTAGGATATAGTATTTGGGTTTAGGGTCTAGCATTTAGAGTATAGGGTTTAGATTTAGGGTATATAGTTTGGATTTAGGGCCTAGGTTTGGGTTTTAGGGTATAGGGTTTGGTTTTAGGGTATATATTTTGGTTTATGGTTATAGTTTGGATTTAGGGTTTAGCTTGCGATGTTAACGTCGTCAAAATTGGCTTTATTATTATTTTTATAGTTATTTTGGTGTTTTAAAAAATATTTAATAATTTTTATTAATTAATTTATGTGGCATAATGAGTGGTATTAGAGATGAGGTGAATTTGGAGATTCACCCTAAAGGATGAACCTAAGTTTTGTTCACAAGAATGACAGGTGCAGAGATCAGCTCTTCCCATTTGGTCGACGCTTCTTCCTAAAGCAGTGTACCTTTTTTTTTTTTTTTTTTTTTTTTTTTTTTTTTGGCTAAAAACTGACTCTTAAATAAGAGTTTTAAGAAACTGTTCTTAGTTTTTTTTAGTTAAAGTTAAGAAACGGTTATGATATTATGCTAAAAACCTTATTCTAAAAATTCTACAATAAACATGACCTTTAAACCCTGTTTTAAGAACCTTCAGGGTGGAGTTCTGCACACAATAATAGATCCTACTCCTCACCTACATACACTTATACAACATATACATATACAGATATATTTTAAGAATTTCATTGGGTAGAAGTAGAACCCCCATTTAAAATGCTGTAAGTGTTAAGGGTGTCAGTCACGTAACACATGAGGAGTCCATGACAGGTCAGCAAATAGTCGGTTTTGTTTGTTTCGCTTTTTACCAGGGTTCGATTATGGTACAGCCCATCAAATGAAATAAAATGCATCACTATTTAGCAACGTAACAAAATATTCACAACCCCGATAAAGAATATATGATCACTTGTTGAATTAGATGAAGTTGGTATGTTTACATGTGCTTAGCATTACTGTAGAAAGACAGAAGAAGAATATATTCACACATTGTTTTGCTTAGCTAATTGGTTGACCGATTTGATGATATTTAAACTAAACTTGAATAGTTTATGGCATAGCTTTAGATTAGAGGAAGGAAGAATGCCTTCTTATTAGTTGTTAGAACTTGGAAGTATCCATTAATATTAATTGCGTTTTAGTTTCTGGTGGACTTAATTTGGTTAGAAAAGTTGCATTTTGTGGGATCTTTTGGTGCGTAATAGTTGAACTTAAACTTGCATTTCCTATGATTCTTGTTTATTCATGTGCTTGATTAGCCAAAGCTAGCAGTGTTCATCTGGCTGTGGCTACTTTGAGGTCTTGCTGATGGAAATTCATGTTCAGTCAAGGAATAGCAAGCAATGAAGCTTAAATAATACTTAATAGATATATCTTGCATTTGGTTGTCTAGATATGATTGTTAATTAACCTAATTGTGTTATCCACGTTTGAGACAAAGTTTGTTCTTCACTCTATACTTGTCTCTGTTATATATCTTTTCCAAGCTCTGTTCATGTGTGCCTAACTCAACTTTCCTTTAATTTGTCAACTGGTCTTGAAATTTGGAGACTCCTACAAAAACCGATTGGTCTTATATTATAGGATGATGTTATTAAGATACTAATTATGCTTAATGTTTAGGGTATCTCCTATAAATAAAAGGAGAATATGAAAGTTTTTTAAGCCGTCCACGTCACCGAAAGTAATCAACCAATAAGATTACTGGTTTTTGCCACATCATTACACAAAAGCTTTCTTATTGGGTTATTTTGTTTTTGGATTCGTTTTGATCGAAAGCCCGTTAAGCCCATCTGGACGGCTTCTCAACCGAAGTCGATCCATCGACACCACTCTGTCTCTCCATCTCTGTGCAATAACAATTCTATTTCTCGATCTGTGTTCTTAGTTTATCAGTCTCTTTGTCTTTTGTTTGGGTTATTAGGTTTATCTCTCGACGATGTAGTTTGATTTTCATCGGATGCGTTAGATTGTTTAATACTAGGTAGATATTCAGCACTTGACATCTCCTTCCTGGCCTTTCACTCTCGCAAAAATAGCTTTCCGTCATGGTCAATTATCAAACCCTCTCGAGAATTGGGATGGTACGCAATGGATTGTTCAAAAAAAAAGTTGATATATTTACAAATTTTTGTTTGTATATCATCCAGTTTTACTTCCTTATGTGCAGGCGGATCATGAAAAAAAGCTATCAGGCAGAGGAGAATGCAAGAGCTGATGCCTCAACATGGCACTGTAACTTCTAATTTGTAATAACCTTCACACGTATGGCAGTTCTGTTTTTTTTTTCTTCTCAATTCATACAAATTTCAATTTGTGACTCATTGTGAAATAACACGATATGCAGGGAAGCATGCAATCATCAGAATCCGGATCAAGAGAGAGCACAAAAAGATGCTAAAAGGTGTGTATCAGTTGCTGTCTATTAGCTGGAAAAAGTCTTTTGACCTCGCTGTATCATTAGTATATATCTATGTAATGTCCTAAAAGGTGTGATTCATTTGCTGTCTATTACACAGTGATTCTATTTGGAGTGCATGTGCTGAATCCTCTGTTTGACATCGCTGGAACAATGTGTGGATAATTTGGATACCGTTTTGGGAGTTCTTTCTGGCGAATTTAATCGGAAAAGCGATCATTAAAACTCACATACACTGTAATTAATAAGTGAAGAGCCTGGTGCGACTATATCTCTTTCTGTGGACACACTGGGAATGGGGATTCTTTCAAATATAAAGTTGTGGGGAGAGAAGAGCAAGCAAATCAGTTTCTCTCAACCTGAAAGGGACGAGGTTAGATATATCTTGAATCTCAGTTAACATTAAATGTCCAACCCGTTTAACTTTTGTTTCTCTGTTCAGCTTAGGAGAAGAAAGCTGATGTGAGCGTTGTACCTCATGAGAGATCCATTTTCACCAAACACACAAGGTTAGTGGGTGAAAGTTAGTATGCATCTATGTTCTGTTCTGATTCAATTTAAGTTTCAGTCATAGATTGTTATACTTTGTCCGGTGATTTTCAGGCAGAAGCTGGAAAGCTCTCAGAAGAAGGTTGAACCAGTTCCATTGATAGGCTTCTTCACAGGTTTGCGTTAGAGATTTCATTACATTCACAAAGATATCATTGATCACTGACATCAATTCATTTTGCTGACGTTCTTTCATTTGTCTCAGAAAAAATTGTGGAGCTTTTGGTGGGAGCTCAGTCACGGTTCACTTACATATCGGGATCTTGAGTTTATCACTTCTGCACGCCATTGTGGAGAGATTCGTAGGGAATGTTACAGGCTTTGTAAGAAGTTGTGTTTATTGCAGTTAGGACATACGATCATGCAAAGATGTAGTTTGATGATGAGCTGTTTGTGTCTGAACTTTGGTCCCATACAAATAAATGAAACAAAGTTTTCATCAGTGCAAGTGGAACATGAAACCTTTTCATTCACTTGTGTAAATCAAAATGATTTATGCTGACGTGATGCCTATACTTATAAATGGATAGGCAAAAATTGGTGGGCAGCCAGCCAATCAACGGTTCTTACAATATTGGATTAGGCTTTTGAGAGCCATTAGGATACTGCCACGTGGATTGATCCCGTTAAGTTTGTTCCACCTTCTATTTACGGGATCATTGTAGGAGATGGGTTGTACCCCTCCGCAAGGCCCATCAAATGGGGAAACTTAACCCAACACGGTAACGTACTCGGCCCACCAGGTAACATCAAAACGACTCAGCATGAGACGCGTTTAGTAGCACGACTAAGAGAGTCGGTTGAAGTGCGACTTACCCGAACTACTAAACGGGCCTAATAAGAATCAAACCCAACAAGGCTTGATTAAACTAGGGCGAACACGAAGACAGGGTTTATAAAAGGAGAGAGGCAGCAAAGGGAAAGGGGATCCGGAATTCGACATACTCACTTGGCGGCTAGATCTAGGGTTTCTTAGCGACTAGGTGGTTAGATCTAGGGTTTACTCACCTTCCCGTTTAGTCACCTTCTCGTTTATTCACCTTCGCGTTTAGGCACCTTCCATTTACTCACCATCTTGTATTTCCGGCTAGTCCGCCTCTTTACTCTTCTCTTTGTAACTCCTTGTTCAGATCTAATAAAACGTCTTTGTTCGCCCTCATCTCTCTCTTTATATTGTTTAAACCATTTTCACCTCAAACAATTTGGCGCCCACCGTGGGGCACTGAACAAAGCAACGTTATCAGATTTAGACATGCCTGACGACGGAACCGTCTCCGGAACCGCCGGCGAGGAGCCGACTCAGACTCCCGTGCCCGAAACACCTCTTCCTCCCGACTTCATGAGCTCCGTCATGGCGCGTTTCACAGACAAGACGAAATACAAAAGGAGACTCAAGCTCAACTCGCCGCACTCGTAGCAGCGTTAACAGCAGCTCCCGCCGGGCAGACGAGTAACTCTCAACCGTTCCGACGTCATCTCTTCAACACTAACCTGACGGCGCCGGTAGCCGACCATACCTTCGAAGAGTCGGAACCCACCGAGCCGCACACTGCAGAAGCAGCTCAAGTCGGCCCAGATCTCACGACTGTCCGTGAAATCGCCGAGCTCAAACTGAACCTCCAACAGATGAGCTCCACGATTCACAAGGTTACTAGCGCCGCTCCACAGATCGAGAGTGTTCTCGCTTCAACCGAGCGTACTCCATTCACCAGTACGTTGACTAGCGTAAACTTCCGCAAGATTGAGAAGCTGCGCGTCCCGCAGTACAAACCCGGCGGTGACCCTGTGGAGCATATGACTGCTTTCAACATCGCGATGGCCCGAGCGCGACTACCCGACGACGAAAGAGACGCCGCATACTGTCAGCTGTTCGTGGAAACACTCCACGACCAAGCCTTGACCTGGTTCTCAGGTCTCAAAGAGAACTCCATCAGCAGCTTCAGAGAGCTTTCGTCGGCTTTCCTCAAAACCTACATCATCTTCACTAAGCGCGAAGCGACAGCCTCCAGCTTGTGGAACCTAAAGCAGACTAAAGACCAAAGTCTTCGAGACTTCATGGAGCGCTTCAAGTCGATCGTCTCAAAGATCGACATCCCTGACCACATAGCCGTCGACGCTCTCATGAACACCCTCCATCTCGATTCCAAGTTCCGAGAGGACCTATACCGAAGCACCTCCACGACGCTCCAGGATGCCATAGCTCGCTCACACAACTTCATCCGAATGGAGGAGGACACGAAAGCAATCATAGGCAACCACAGCGCGGCAAAGCCGACAACGCCCAAGACCTCTGACGCAAAGCCGGAGCCGCGTCAACACGCTTCCGGCGACAAGAAACAAAAAAAGAGCGGGCTTCTGTTTGTCGTCGATGAGAATAACACACCAGTCGCAAGTTTCTCAGTACGTGGCGAGCCATGGAACGTGTACAACCGAGAGACGGCGGCTCTGAAAGGTCTGGCAAGTCCTGCCGGACCGGCTCAACCAGCTTCGCCGGCTACCTCAGGAGCGGGGTCTTCTAAAGGAGTCGACCTCACCAAACATTGCAAGTACTATGCGTCAAAGGACACGATACAACCGAGTGTAGAACGATGTACGCTGAATTTCTCTCATCGGTTGAAAAAGGTGACTTCAAGATTCAGCCACCAAAGCAGAAACCAAAATCCGGCAAGAGTTGGTCTAAGAACAAAGATAAACGCGCGCAGCGAAAGTCTGGTGGTAAAAACGGAGAGCAACGCCGTCCAGACGACAAACCTTCGGATGCCGCCGACAACGAAGCCTCTTCGGGAGACGAGGGGCAACCAGCAAGCCGTCAACGTATTGAGGTAATACGATCTCAGCAACCTTTGTCATCTGATGACGAGGACGATAACTCGCCCGAATCAAGCGACCTGCAGAGCTTCCTGAAGCGAAAGGAGACGACATGTAGTGACGTCAACAGCAGAGACCTCTGCCTCAAGCTCCAAGCCAACAAGTCGCGACGCCTGGAAACCAAGGAGCCTCCCTTGTCGGACGACGAGCCTGTCACCGATCTGCGTGACAAACTCAACGCTAACCTGATCGATTTACGCGCGCGACTAAACCGCTCCAAATCAATAAATCAACGGCTAGAGCAGTCAACTTCGTCCCATACCATGGACTCGTCAAAGCTGATCGACGAGAACATCCCAGCGGATCTTCGTACATTCTTAGATACCAAACGAGCAGTCACGAAACCACGTCTGAACGTCATCATGGGTGGATCACCTCCTCGTGGCGACTCTGTCCGCTCCGTCAAAGACTACCGGCGCCAAGCCGCGTCTTCGAGACGCTGGCCTACGAAGCCACCGAGCCACACGCCGATCATCTTTACCCCCGAAGACTTGAACGGAGTCCACTTGCCCCACAACGATCCTCTGCTAGTCGTCCTTGAGATCGGTAAGTACGATGTAACCAAAGTACTAGTCGACACAGGAAGCTCAGTTGACCTCATCTTTCGTGATACGCTTGAGAAGATGGGGGTAGATTTCGACGACGTCAAGTCATCCTCACGGATCTTGACCGGCTTCAACGGCTCATCGGAAACCATCCTCGGGACAATCCGTCTCCCAGTCCGCGCGTGCGGAGTTACTCGAACGGTTAAATTCGCCGTGGTAAACACTAAAGCCCCTTATCATGTCATTCTCGGAACCCCATGGATACATTCAATGCAAGCAGTTCCATCAACCTACCACCAATGCATCAAGTTCCCTGGGGTAGACGGAACAATCAAGACCGTCCGCGGAGATCAGCAAGCCGCGCGAGATCTGCTAATCGCCACAATCAAGCTGCAACGTTCATCGTCCCTAGTCAACTCTGTCTCTCATCCGATCGCTCGAACCTTCCCTCAGAAAGACGAGGTTCTGGAGATGCCTATAGACGATTCCGATCCAAGTAAGACGGTGCGCGTCGGTGCACATCTAGCCGACGATATGCAGCGAGCATTGCTCACATTCCTGAAGGAAAATGTGTTCACCTTCGCTTGGTCTGTGACGGACATGAAAGGAATAGATCCAGCAATAACCACCCACGAGCTCAACGTTGACCCCACCTTCAAGCCTATCCGCCATAAAAGACGTAAGCTGGGCCCGGAAAGAGCGAAAGCAGTAAACGAGGAAGTCGAACGACTACTCGGAGCTGGTTCAATCGCAGAAGTCCGTTACCCGGAATGGCTAGCGAATCCTGTGGTGGTCAAGAAAAAGAACGGGAAATGGCGCGTCTGCGTCGACTTCACCGATCTTAACAAAGCTTGCCCGAAGGATAGTTACCCATTACCGAGCATCGACCGCCTCGTAGAATCAACCGCAGGAAACGAGATGCTCACCTTCATGGATGCGTTCTCGGGCTACAACCAGATCATGATGCACCCCGATGATCGCGAGAAGACATTGTTCATCACAGACCGATGAACATACTGTTATAAAGTCATGCCATTCGGGTTGAAGAATGCCGGTGCTACTTATCAGCGACTCGTCAACCGTATGTTCGCCGATAAACTCGGTAGCACCATGGAAGTTTATATCGATGATATGCTCGTCAAGTCGCTTCAAGCCAAAGATCACCTTAACCATTTACGTGACTGCTTCGAAACGCTAAACAAGTATGGGATGAAGCTGAACCCAGCGAAGTGTACGTTTGGAGTCTCTTCCGGCGAGTTTCTAGGCTACATCGTTACCCAACGAGGGATTGAAGCCAACCCGAAGCAAATATCAGCTGTGCTCGATCTCCCAAGTCCTAGGAACAGCCGCGAAGTCCAACGGCTAACTGGTCGCATCGCCGCTCTTAACCGTTTCATTTCCAGATCAACCGATAAATGTCTCCCTTTCTATGACCTTCTCCGTGGAAACAAGAAATTCGTTTGGGACGATAGGTGCGAGGAAGCCTTCTCCCAGCTCAAGAAGTACCTCACCACCCCTCCAGTCCTCGCAAAGCCAGACGAAGGAGACGTCCTCTCACTCTACATCGCCGTCTCTAGCGCAGCGGTTAGTAGCGTCCTGATCAAGGAGGACAGAGGCGAGCAGAAGCCAATCTTCTACACAAGCAGGCGCATGACTGGTCCGGAAACTCGGTATCCAGCTCTCGAGAAGATGGCTCTCGCTGTGGTAGAAGCAGCCAGGAAGCTTCGACCTTACATTCAATCACACTCGGTTGAGGTGCTGACTGATCAGCCCCTCCGAACTGTCCTGCAGAATACTAATCGCGCCGGTCGACTAACCAAGTGGGCCGTAGAACTCGGGGAGCTCGACATAACGTATAAAAATCGTACAGCCCTCAAAGCTCAGGTCTTGGCTGACTTCATTGTCGAGTTAGCACCCGAACTAGAACAGGACACCCAGCTCCCGAGTCAGAATTGGATATTACATGTGGACGGTTCCTCGACGAACAAAGGTTCAGGCGCGGGTGTTCAACTCCAATCCCCAACTGGCGAACTGATACGACAATCGTTCAGCTTCAACTTCCCAGCATCAAAC